TACAACTCTTATTTTATGTAATTGTATATAGTTTCTTGATGTTTTAACCTCAAACATTGTATTTGTGGACTTGTTTGACTTGTTGATAGTGTTGTTCTGTTTTGCAGATGGTTTCTATGCTGAAATATTTCAGGTGTAAAACATGTCTGTAGGGTAGGAACCTCAACTGGGTGAGACAAGTCTATTATTAACTTGGTATATAGCTCCAGACTGACTGCTCAAAAGCTCTCTTGAAGCTCGCACAGTTGGTATGGCCGTATATATTTTGCTGAACAAGTGTGTCTTCAGATGTTTTTTGAAACTGTTAAGTTCACTGAGCATGCTGAGTTCTTTGGGCAGGGCGTTCCAAAGAAGAGGACCAGCCCTTGTAAAGCAGCGATCCCCGTAGGAGATTGTTCTTGATTGTGGCACTTCAAGCAACGATTGATCACAAGATTATAGGGTTCTTGTTGGCTGGTATTGTATGATGAGATCCTCCAGGTAGCTTGGAGCAAGACCATGCTGTGCCTTGAACACAAGAACGAGAACCTTGAACCGTATTCTCTGTTCTACTTTAAGCCAGTGTAGACCTTTGAGAATCGGTGTGATGTGCTCACAGCGTTTGGCTCTAGTGACACTTTTGACAGTGTCCAAGCATTAATTGAGCTGATAAATTATGACATGAAATGCAGAAATCAAATATTTAGAAGCTTTTACAGCCATTTTGTTTTAACAATGAACAAATAAAATAAAACACAATCAAAAACTGAATAAGATGAAGTGCCATCAGATTTATGGTTATCTGTGGACGTTTCGGATAAAACACGACTGAGGTTGTGGTTGACAGTAAAACCTAAGGGAAGCAGAGACCAAGCGAGTAAAACTGCCGGATGTTTTATCCAACTTACGAACTGTCGAAACAACATTTATTTATATACTACTCAAAAGAAGTTAAGGATCACCTGATTCTTTCATATTACTGTAGTTAATCTCTCATGTCATGACAGATTAATTTTACCATTATGAATCGGGTGATCCTTAACTTCTTTTGAGTAGTATATTTGTTTAATATGTATAAAATTGTGTTGACAGTCTGGAAAAAATGCTCCTAAAATCTATATAGCTTGGGAATATTCGCTAAACATGGTATCGTTTCATGAACCACATATCTTCAACCAGTCCTGTGGCCTAATTGTTAGAGTGCCAGACTATTGATGAGGAGGTAGTGGGTTCGATTCATTTCATGTCTCTGATTAGTGGATGTTTGAAACACTAAGTCCGACCTTCATCTGCTTGTCGTCTTACCAGTAAAACGTAAAACCTCATACCAAGGATGAGGTCTTGGTAATAGGTTATTACGAAAACAAGTAATGCCAAGGCAATGGTCAATGTCCATAATAGGTTTATAATGGAGGTTGATCTTGATGAAGGCAGGTTGGTGCTGAAACATGGAGAAGAAGAAAAACAATTGACCAGGTTAACCTTGTTTAGTTGCTTCTGTTGACATATCTTAGTCACTGTTTGATTCAGGTTGTTTAGGTTTGTCATTCTTCCAATCTAAAGCATACACTGTAATAATGTGTAGCGTTTCTTCCAGAGTCGATTCTGTGATGTTTGACCTCTTGTGTTGTATGTATGTGTATTGTCTGTACGAGTGTTTGATGTCTCCGATGCCAATCATGTGTCAATCATAATATTGTCAATAAATATTTCAACACCTTTGTTTCCCTTCACTGTTGTTGTCTGTTGCTGTTGTACTAGGACGGGCCTCCAGACACCTCATCACTTTCCTATGTTTGTTTGTTTGTTGTTTAACGCTGCACTCAGCAATATTCCAGCTATATGGCAGCAGTCTGTAAATAACCGAGTCTGGACCAGTCGATCCAGTGATGACATCATGAACATGGATCCACGCAATTTGGATACGATGACGTGCATCAACCAAGTTAGCGATCCTGACCACCCTATCATATTAGTCGCCTCTTACGACAAGCATAGTTGCCCTTTACAGCAAGCATCAGTTGCTGATGACCTATTCTAACATTCCTGTCCTGTCCGGTCATTTCCAGTAATGTCCGGTCATTTCCTGTCCTGCATAGCCAAGAACCATGCTGATAGTCACTCTTTTCTGCGTAGCAGCTGAGAAAGGCCAAAAGTTTTGTTGTCATGGATACAGTTTAGTGATGATAATTATTTTTGGTTCTGGTTCAAGTCAAACTATTCAGTCTTTCAGACCAAATAGCATCTCCTATATTCTGCTCACAAGAGCAAAGGTTAAGCAATTGAAACTTGTCATTTCTGACATATGTAATGTAACTGAAGAATTCAGCACACTTCTTGGTCCCATAATCATTACTGGAGGTAGCCATCATGCAGAGCTACAATCACTAGTTTTAACAGGAGAGTTCTGATTGGTTCTAGAAACTATCCATTCAGTGCCAGCTGATTGGTCAGAGCATGCCATTCTACGTGTAATGAGTGAGTGAGTTTGGTTTCATGCTGCCTTGCACAGTATTTAAGTCATCATGGCATGTCAGCTTGATGTAGGGGGATCGGATGCAGGTCTGAGAATTTTACCATTTTGGTATGGTTTTGGTACGGAATTTAGGCACGAGTGTCATAGACACAGTATGACATGAACATGAATATAATGTTCTATTTATTACCAAAGATGTCTACACACAGACAATTTTAGTGTTTACCTATTAGGACAGCAAGTCGCAACAGCAATGGAACCACAATTTATCGAATGACGTCATCAATCATCAGCTATGATGTCGTTTCCATTGCGACGTCGTTCCGACCTCACGCCACAATAGGATTCAAATGATGTCAACAATCGAATCAAAGCCATCCAGATGACGGAAACAATACACTGTTGTCCCAAGACGTGATGTGATCCTAGAGCACATATGATTTTAATAAACCCTGATATTTAGGTACCTCATACGGAATAAATTGAGGACAAAACTGGGATTTGAACACAGGATCACACGATTCTGACATGCACAAGGGATGGAACTCTGAATAGTGAATTGCTGTGATTTGATGACTAGGACATTATGGAGGTAATGAAGACTGTTTCTCATACTTTATACAGCACAGATACTTGGATTGACGGTCATGCAATCTGCTCATGATGAATCAAAATGACAAATCTCCAAAATTTGTTAAAATCTTTATTTAGAAAAAACAACATTGTGACTTGTGACAAAGTCTGAGCTCGAAGCCCACCACAATGAGTCTGCCAATCAACACCGCAGCCACCAATAATGGCGTTAGCACACCAGGGGCAATAGCACTCGGGGCGACGCAAACCATGTGTCTCCTACTCTGTACGTGGCTCACTGGAGACAGATGGTGGAGACACAGCCTAGAGATGGCAACATACACCGGAAGTAGGACACAGTACAACACCAGCACCACACTCCATCACAACACGGTTTCAAAAGAACCCTCAGATGTACACTATCTCAGATAAGAAAATGTAAACAATACATTCTGAACTGTTTTTTTCAGGGAGTAGTATGCATGTGGCCTATATCATTGTATGCATGCACATGCAGATCCATAACTCATATCTCTTTGTTGGTTAGTTTCAGTTTGCATCGTACAATATTGGTGTTCAAGTTTACTTTTATTTAAAGATATTAGCGTCTCTAATCAACAATGAGTACTTAATTTTTGTCAGATTTTTGTTTCCACACAGATTTTTCTTTATTTTCATAATCACTTTAAAAGTTCAAAATATTTAAACATTGTTTCATCATTTGAGTATTCTTTATGGATGACTCCAGCATGCAAAAATTATCCTCATAGTTTTAACCAAATTATTATTATTAGAACCATTTCACGAAATCTTACACAATGTCAAATAATGAACAAATTTGGCTTATCTGTGTAATTTTAATCTAACTTGAAGATATGCCACTGCCTACATGTCATCTCTAGGCACATGTCACCTACACAATGGTCCAAGTTTAGTTGTTAAGACATCTCAGCTGAGCAAACAACATAGTATGATATTTTCAAGTTCTCCATTTTAGTGATGAAAGTTGACCGTGAAAACAGTTGAAGACAAGCAGACTTTGTAAAACTGCAAAAACACTGAATGTTCATATCTGATGAAATAACTACTTCAAATACAAATATAGTTTAGTGCCATTTCAAATAAACATGGGAACCAGTAAAACAAGCCTTTAACACATGGCAGCCTGCCTGCCTGCCACAAACGTCAGATCGCACTAATCAAACACGGAGTTTCAAACAGCAACACCACATACTTTCAAAACAACTCTCAATGATTCTGAAATCTAAACAGCTGGTGACATCTGCAAACGTAACAATTCACGCAAAATATGATTTAATCAGTAAAATTACTTCACACCTGCATGCTTATCTATAAGGAACGCACAGACAGTGATAAGATAAAGTTCAGCTAAATAGCTTATTGTATTACCAAATAATTGCTGTTGGCAGTTTAGAATCTCTGACTTACTTGATGTACACTCCATGCCATTACAGGGTGTCCCCACAGTGTTACCTATATTATTCATTGTAGGCTGGATGATTAGAGTTAGTTGCCAGGTCTGACTTTCTGTTAACAGGACTGTAATACATACTTTTTGTAACAATCTCATTAAAATCATATCTTAGTTCTCACTGCCGCTAAACAAAGATCTGAGGACATCCCATTAGGGGTCATGTCAGAACGACCTTTCATCCGACCAATCAGGGCGTCGATTACCAGATCATGAAAGTTACAGTTGGAATGTGATTTCTAATCATGCAGCCTCGAAAACGTAAAAACGGGGTATTCCGAACGATAGTTACGGGCTTAACGACTGAATCTATACAATCTAGACCATATATTAGCCATTCTAGAACGTTCTTTTGTTCAGGTTTCAAATTTTTAAGCGAGAATTTGTCAAAATATGTTTCGAAGTGTAGTCGCCAATTTGAAATTAGTGCCGTAAAGCACAAGAAAGCTGCCTCCTGATTGGCTAATGTCGACTTCTTGTCAGTAATTCCATTGGTCGGTCAGAGTTTGTGAAAGGTCGGTCTGACGTGACCCGTAATGGGATGTCCTCAGATCTTTGTTTAGCGGCAGCGAGAAGATCTGATTTTAATGAGATTGTTTTTGTTATAGCACATCAATTATTCAAAGACCGATGGTGTATGTTCAAACATGATCCACCTTTTCTTGTACGAATGGACCTGCACCCGATCCACAAAGTGTTCATAGCGCTATGACGTTCGTAAGCCTGCGATAAAAGTATACAGCAAAAACTGGGTCGGGATTCAGGACCCCTGTTCCACAAAGCAATCTTATCAATCTTCCATTCACTAACACAGACTAAGACAGTCATAGCGCTAAGATTGCTTTGTTGAACAAGGCCCATGGCAATGTAAGTCTTACCTCATCCCATAATGTTATCTGATATTATTGTCATGGGTTTTTTATTTGTCCCTTTTGAAAAATTATAGATTCTTGATTATATCCGTTTGTAAATGGAAATAACTTTTTAATGTGAAGCTTACAAGATTTTCCATTGGATGACTGCAAAACTGACATAACGTTGCTCCTAATTGTAATGAAGCAGTTGTTCATCCATATATCTTATCTTTACTTAACTGAGGTTGTTCATAAGACACCTTTATCCAATGATGGTACTATCTGAACCTATTTGTTGGAACCAAGCAACAAAAGACGTTCCTGTAGAGCAAGTTGAACATACACACGCACGTTTCTCTCCTTTAAATAACTTTTTTATTCCGTGTTACAGTTGTATGGTTGTCAGTGTAAACATGAAGTCACACATACTAAATGAAAATGTTTAAAACATCCCTCAAGGTATAGTGAAATAAAAAATTATAGGCATGTTCATACAGTTTGGCTCTCACTCTGTGAAGGTTCATACTCCAATGAACTCACACACAGTGAAAAGTCAATTCCTAAATGAATCAAGTAATTTGTAACATGTATACAAATACTTCTTAACAATTTACAAAGGATTTTGTATAGACACCTAACCACTTTGACATTCTCCAAAAGCTAACAAGGTCAGTAGTAACGATCAGTGCAGTTTACAAAGGTGAATTATAGAAGCGGCAACAACTTGGAAGCAATGCAATGACGCAATAACTAAGAAGGCTTTAGTTTATCATCTATGCATACATATTGTGTAACAAACCAACTTGGGTGTGGTAAAAACATATTTTCATTGTAAGAATCAAGGCAAAGGTGATGAAACCTGTCATGACATCAGGACCACAAAACCACACGAACACACACTCACATTAGAAGCCTTTTCATTAAGTTTTGTCACCACAACAAGTGCTGATATTTCAAAAAAAATAATTGTCATGGAATTGTTGAACTTGACTGAGCCTGTATTTCACACTTCTGTGAGTACACTTGCATTAAGAACATAACATTAATGTACATATGGCAGAGTTATCTCCCCTTCAATGTACATACAGAAGAGTTTTCTCCCCTGTATTTGCATTAAAAAGAGTTATCTCCCCTTCAATGTACATACAGAAGAGTTATCTCCCCTGGATTTACATTAAAAAGAGTTATCTCCCCATGCTCTCTGACCAACAATGTTGATGATGCATCTGTTGAGTGCATGTGAGGACAGCAGCAGGACTAAGCCCATGGTGCCACTGTGGCAGAGATGCCAACCAGTACAAAGTCTACATTTCAATATTATTCACTCAGTAGGAACACAGTGAAACAAACTACTCAAAAGAAGTTCTTTCATATTACTATTGCTAATCTGTCATGACATATTAACTAGGGCAATATGAAAGAATCAGGTGTTCTTTAACTTATTTTGAGAAGTATACATTACAAATTTTGTCCCCCCAAACCTGCCAGTAATTTAGGTTCTTGGTGACCTACCACAAGCATTCTGAAGTATACAACAGATTAATACTGGTATTGTGTCCATGTTGGATTGCCATCTTTGCTCCATGTCACAGCCACGTTGTACAAGGCGCTGATAGTGTGAAGCTAGCTGCTGTATTGTGTAACTCATTGTCACAGAAGAAGAAAAGTGTATTCTCAAACAATAACACTTGAATGTTGGGTGCAAATAAACTGACTTGGCACACCTCAATTCTGTATCATTCAACAATCTGACAGTTGGACTGGATCTGGTTTAACAGGTGCTTTGGCAAAATTCCTGTCTTGTGAAATATACAGATAGACAAAAATAAGGGACCATAGAAATAGTTCAAAGCTGGTCTCATGCCGCTTTTAGAAATATACTAACATACAAAAAAAGGTAGGGAGCATGAATATTTTGAGGGATATTTTTTGTAGTGAAGACTTAGCCTACAATTTCATAAAAATATCCCCCAAAATATTAATGATCCCTAACTGTTTATCTTCAGTGTTATGTGCCAACACTTTAACCACAAGGCTATCCCACCACCCAAAATGTATTTCAGTAGATAGGTTAGTGCTATCTCTGTCTGTGTCTGATATAGCATTCTTAATATAATGCTAGATGGTTATTCTTTGGAGTACATATACTGAACCTTACCTCTCATAAACATTCCCTTATTTCCACCTATCTGTATACAATACAAAAAGACAGTGATATGTTTTGACTTGTGAAAATCAACACCAGAAATATTTTCTACACAATTCATTAACAAAATTGAACAAACAAATAATATTCATCACAATTTCATCTATATTGGCTAAATTGTCTTTTCAAGAAATTTCACAAAATATTTTGGCAATAACTTCACGATACACACACTTAAACATCCTCTGTCAATATTGTTTTGAATTTTAGTCTTTCCCTGTGAGAATATACATGGCAAAGCACTAATACTCAGACATAAAACTTGAAACATTTCTACAAGACTAGAGAATCACAAATGGAAGAGAAGCATATCCAAATTCTAGACATGTAAACCATGTTTAGAATGTCAACATGAGGATGAAGGACGAGGAGCTGATCTACAACATATCTCATCAAGAACGTGCCAGAGTGAAGGAGTGAGTATGGTTTTACGCCGCTTTTAGCAATATTCCAGCAATATCATGGCAGGGGACACCAGAAATGGGCTTCACACATTGTACACATGTGGGGAATCGAACCTGAATCTTAACCACTAGGCTACCCCCACTGCCCCAGAACGTGCCAGAGCAAAATGGAACTGACTATGTTGTTTAAAACTGCACTACTGCTAAACAGACACAGGGGTCGTATCCCAAAACTTACAAAACAAATACTGTGAATATTGTGAAAAACAAAAACTATGTCAAGCCCCACTACCAGCTACATATATAACAAAAAAGTTGAGCACAGGACATCAGAAGCTCCAGTTTTTTGTATGGTCCAAGTACTAATTCAAATCAAGGTCCAATTAAAAAATATTGCATACATACATATACATATTTACCAAACTTTATTACATTTGGTACCAAAATGACCGCATCCCACTCTTCTGTTCAATGGAAATGGATTTTTCTGTTGTGTAGGGGACATCTACAGTCATATATTGTGTTCATGACAATGTTTTCATAAGTTGTTTAGCAGTAGTTTCTTGGATCCATTTCATGAGACAATCTAAACATGGTATACAAGTTTATTTATGCCTGCATATTTGATCTTCAGACATAACCAAATATTTATGTTAATCCAATTTGTGAGAGCATCAACGCATGGTTAATAAGCAATGACATGAGTAATTAGAAGCAAATGTGTACTAATTCATTGACACTTCAAGACATAACGAGTCTGTCATTGAATATGACAGTTATAAAACTGATCTGTCATGGCAGACATTTGTCGAGCACACGAGGTCCCAGCCACATAGCACACCATAAAGACAAAGCAAAGTCCCTATCACTCTCCTCTACACCTCCGTATGTCGTTATTGCAGAGTTAGTGCATAAAATAAACATGGCAGGCAACTCTTGGCAAGTCCTCAACATCTGTCACACTTGCCAAACATTCCGCCTGTCCATGAACTGATGTCACAGCTAAATTTGGTGCGCCATACATATCATCTGTGTTGAATGTGAATATTTTCATAACAATTTATACCATGAAAATAATGTAATCTTTGAATAAATAATCCTGTTAAAGTTTCAGAGTTAAATTAATGAAATGATTAATCAAGTTAACAAACCTACAAAAATACTTTTATAAAGGATTTCAATTTTGTAAACATACAAAACAGTTCAGATCCAATAGAAGGAAAATGTTGTCAGATATTAAATATTAAATTTGTCAATTTCCACAAAACTAGTTCTATCAAGTATTGTAACTGTCAAAAGCAGGGTTTTAATAATGTGCTTGTGCATTGAACACAAGTAATGTGCAGGTCTGATTAGCAAAGCATGGAAGCAAAGCAAATATATCCATTTGCATATTCAAATTAAGCACCAATTAGTATATTAATAAACATTGTGTATATACATTTGTGCTGACCAGCTGGGCGCAGCGGCTGTCAAGGCTGTGACTGTCGATGACGTCAATCCTTGGAAACAAACGAGAAAAAAAGAAAGTCACAATAGCACAGGTTGTTGGTAAAAGTATTTACATGAAACCGCAAACAAAAAGGAAAACAGAACACAAAGAAAATTGCATAGCTGCGGAAATGTAAAAGAAACTAAAATGTAAAAAAGCATGACTACGTTAATAAGTGCAAGTATCACCCTTGACAATATGATCATCACAACCAGGTATGTGGGAGATTCAAGGGCGGAGTGGACATAGATGTCTTGGACTCCACCATATAGAGATACTGACAGTGTCTATTTCATGTCAATTTCACATCTATTTCATGTCAATTTCATGTTTCATGTCTATTTCATGTCAATTTCATGTTTCATGTCTATTTCTTGTTTCATGTCTGATTTATGCCAATTTCATGTTTCATGTCAATTTTATGTTTTTATGTCTGTTTTTATGCCTATTTCATGTCAATTTCATGTGTCATGTCAATTCCAACTATTGGAGATATATCTCTCCAAGAGAATGATGTCCCTGAACAATCTAATATTCCTGCTGTGGTTCCTTTACACCTGTGAAAACATAGCTATGTACTGCTTCACTTGAGAAGCAGACTACTGGTTGTTGACATGACATATAGCTACAATTTACTCCTTTATAACTTTCTAATCGAGCGGTACCAGTGGGTATTAAATTCCAGGATATTTCACTCTGACAGAGTAGGTCCTGCAGCAATACAATGTAAATCTCACGCATTCTATTTTGGTATTAATTGTTCAATTCTCAATGCAATGTCCAAATTATATTGACACAACTCAACATCTTTTGAACATATTGAGACTCATATAATATATACTCATTTTGAATGTATTCAGTTTAATCATTTTCAAATATCTTTATCCCTATTTAGGGCCTGTAGCAATACAATATAAATCTCACACATTCTGTTTTGGTATTAATGTTCAAATTTCAAAGCAAGGTCTGAATTATATTAACACAAATTATCATCTTTAAGACTGAACATATTGAGACTTATTACATACTCATTTTGAATGTATTGAGTTTAATTTTATTCATATATCTTTATCCCGATTATCTTTTCATTTTTGATTTGACCCCAAACAGACAATCTTAGATTGAGGACCAATGAGTGTCTTCTATTGTTTAGCTGTTCACTTTGAACAAGGCAACTAGCACAACGTGATCAGCCCTTCCTGACTTACGTCGATTCCGCCCTTGAACACACACATTGGCAAAAGCTATGTACATCATATATGAGGCAGTATGCCATTGGAACAAGCCATCAAATCCACGTCAATAACACAATCTACAACCTACTTATGTACATTCATATCAAATAACAAACATCATTTTGTCAACAGATAATAAACATTGTCATATCTCACATCACCTGACTATCAATCCATCTACATTCTTCGACTGGGTGAGGAGCAAACAGGATTTGTCAATTTTAACAAACAATCATACATCAAAATTTTTATATATTTCCGTCAAAATTATTTTCGAAAACAACATTTTATTTATTTCTGTCAAAAAAAAATCAACAATATTTCCAAGCTTGGCAAAGACTCAAATAAACTTTGTCACAATGCTTATATGATTAATCAAATCGTAGCAGAAATAGACTCAGTATTTCATAATGACGAAACCAGCCAGGAGCATTTGGTCAGCCTAAGAATGAGCAGCTAGCATTGGAAATATTTGTAAATTTGGGGAAGGACAAATTGTTTCAAAATGTGACGAAAATGAGTATTATTAATAGACTGTATAGCAGGATCTACACAACACATCTGTCAGAGTTGACCAGAGTACCACTGAGACAGTTTCCCATCCTTGGAAGAAAAAGATAACTTGGATGTAAACTCTCCTCAAGTTAACATGGTTAAGGACATTTCCAACACACTAAAATATTGTTGGGATATGTAGTGCACCAAGCTAGTAAAGTACAAATATTTACAATTATATAAAACAAAAGTCAAAATTGATGACACTATCTTCATCATGATAAAGCATTGCACGATATGATGAAAAAAGGTTAAGTACACAACATGTGTTTGCAAATCTAGACCCTGAAATGAACACATTTTCATGAAGCTTTTTTGCATAAAATATTTCAACATTTATCACTACTATACACATTAACCAAATATTTATACATGACTAAACTTGACGCTATATAAATGCATTGAAGTCAATAGTATGGTTACAGAAATCTTGCTACGCTGTAAAATCAACAATAATCACGGAAAAATGTAAAGATGTCTCCAAAGCCTTAGAACTAAAATAATAAGCTTTTGGGCCATCTCCTGTGTTCCTGGTTTGACTGTAGTAGTTGGATCAACCATTAATTGAAAGTTGTGCATACATTATTGCAATATTGGTTTGCTGAGCCTATTTTAAAAGAAAAAGAAAACTTAGGATTGTCGTTTTCGATGTCAAATATTTACATTGTTTTTCAATGTGTTTTTCAATGAGTTTTACAAGGAAATACTGACATCAAATACATTTGAACTCTTGGGCTGTTAAGATCAAAACAAACAAACAAATAAAATACTGTTGATTGCACTAGCCCTTTGTCATATATTTGAATACAATGTAAATGGAAAAAAGAATGATAGAAATTTGACACTTTGATTGCTAAAATTATCAACCATGTAAAAACCACAACACAATTTTGTTAAAGCTCTCAGTCTGATAGAGACAGATATTTTAAGAATTTATAAAAATGACAAAGATATAAAGGCTTCCACTGATAGTCACAGTAAACCTATTTCATGTTTGTGCTTGTCCTTCCTAAAAGTACATATTACCTTGCCCCAAACTATCAATTACTGTTTAAAAAAATAATTTCATTTATATTAATGAAGAAAAAAGTCAACATTAGCTCATAATGAAGCAATCAGGCAACACATTTTTTATTTTTTGTTTCACGGGTCTGCCGCCCATAATGAAAAGGAACTGGTAAAGAATTAAATTAAACTTAAAATATTTATTTTTATAATGTCCCCTGCTTGTAATATAGATGTCTTATACAATATAAAATGTTATGTTTAAATTCAATGTCTATATAACTATCAGTGATTCAAGAAGCCAGCTGCAGTTATAACTCTACGGCAGAATGATTTTCATATAAATAAATAACTGATTGACATAGCTATTTATTTTTATTTATATTTCGACCGACCTTGTGTTGAAAGGCAGAATAAATCCGTGAAACATAAAATTGAAAAAAGTGTGGCCTTAGCAATTACACAGCAATGTATCTGAATGGGACATCAAGACTGGTTCGCAATGTTAACCACATCTAAAAGCAAACCCACCCCATCACCTCCCACAAACCACCACCCACCCCATCCACCCATCATGCTCCTATATATAGCTATGGCAGAATGAGAACAAAATCTGTGGGCGAAATACGCATTACATCAGAGACACGTTAAATCCCCAACAGTAAGTAAGAGAACAAAATAATTGCATAACAAGTCTTTCACCCTAATGCTGTGCAGTGGTAAGGCCTAGGAACACACTTGGCTTACATGACATAGTCCACTGTCATCGTACTCCGTAACAACTGCAGGATGCGTTATACCCTTGAAATCAGAATGATTTGGAATGAAGACAGTGAATATATGTGTATATTGATTAAAAGATTAATAGGAAGAACAGGTTACAGTGGCTGCAACGAAAGGGACTAGAGAGTTAGTGGGGGGATAAAATAACACAGGATTGAGGAGAGAGAAACCCGATCCGACTGATACATCTTTATCAGGGCAGTGTCCTTGGGTACATCCTCTATCGGCATGTGATAGCAGTGAAGTGGTGAAGAGAGTGTAATGAGAGTTTTCGAGTCATAAATAATCCATATTGATCTAAGGGTGTTGGGAAGAAGAAAACACCTTGACTGATGTTTGCTATAAGTCGTCGTTCAGTTTAAAAAGTTTTGACATGATTCATAAAACTTCACTCGGAGAACATATGTTGACTGAGGTATAAGTCTATGCAATGTTTTTTCTTGTTTGGAGTGTGCACTTTTTATCCAAAATATTTACCTTCAAATATCTTTTACGTCAACTTTTTTTTTTACACTTAATAAATGCTCTTGCACTGTTTTACAGACAAAGTTTCAAATTAAAGTTTGTTAGAAATATATAATGTAATAAATATTCCCATAATTTAGATGGATGGTTAGATCTAATCTGATAATAACCCTAATTTGATACTGGTACTGGTAGTTGGCAAGCTAATACCGAGACAGAGCGACCCACAAAGAATGACAAATACTACAAAATGGGACACCCACGATTGTGTATCTTGCTTGGGTGGAAGTCACACAAAACTTGGATTAAATTGGAACAAAACAAAATCCCTGAGCTGTAAGCCAGTATAGCTATCTAACTACAGACAAAATCACGCTGAAACGCAATCACGGAAATCAGCCAACCTATTTTTTTTGAAGGATTAGTTGGTCATTCGAGGACAGCAAATCTAACAATGTTACTTCACACAAATTATTCTAAAAATTGTACACAGTTAAAACAGGTTCAGACACACATCCCAACATAAGTGATCGCGTCATGACTGATGTGTTAAAATCAAGTATCAAATCTTGGAATAAGAAAAAATATTCCCGAATACAGGAACGGTAGTAACAAAAACAGCACTAAGCAAACAATGTCCGTTTCATTTCACGCACAGTCTGATTGCAAAACACATTGCAATTAACAATACACATCAATTTCATCAAACTTTGAGGACAGCCTCCGAATGATCGTCATCGATATAGATCATGCAGCTATTGTCCATTTCACCCTCAGAATACACAATTTTCTCTTCTCGTGAGTGTCCCCTTCTTGGTGGGTCAGTCTCCCCCTCCCCCTCCTCCACCTCCAAAGTGACAGATGCCGGACCTGCGGCCAGAGAAACGGGGGACAGGGAGTGTGGGGAGGGGACAGTGGATAATTGAATGCTAGCCGTGTCAGAGATGGGAGTGCCAGTAAATGGAACAGAGTGCTTGTTCATGCCTTCCTCGGAGAATGACCGTTCCTGGAGAGCGAGATGGGAAGGGACGACAGTGACAGATTCGGCGGTTGCGTTATCTGGGGTGCTAGGCTCCCCATCGTACATGTCTAGGCTAGAGCGATCGCCAAAGTCCACATACGGTACCTCTTTTGTTGCTCGCACGATCCTCTGGCAGAACACATTGTCCATGTCAATGTAGGCTTGGTCATTCTCCCTGCAGAACACAGAACACAGAAGTTAGGGTATATTTTTGAAAATACAACATACGACAGACATTAGCATAAACTTGTTACAGTGTTTGAAATTGCAGGGGGTCCTGCTGTTAATGTTTGATATAATATTTGAATGATGAGCTTATGGCATTGGGGCCATGAAAAGGACCCCTTGAATGTCAGGCTTAATTTAAAACACAGTGATAATGGGTGAATGTGCATTAACAATGATGAAATAAATGTCTACAGATTTCTTTTACAGAAAACAAGAGCACCGAAGAGGTATATAATTGCCAAGGAACTACTGAACAAGTTTTAGTTTCATCAGTATTCAAAATGTTTGATCACTGCTCGATCTCTGAACTAAATGTGCTATTAATGATTTCTATGACTCTCCAAGCAATTTTCAAGTGGCCTGACTTCTCAATATGGAAAATACGGCATACACAGGTGTGGTATTAACATCCTAAAAAATGTTGTACATGGCTATGTTAGGTAGGTGTGGACGTTTACCTGTTGTTGATGGCTATGGCTATGTCAGCTGGGTGTGGGGTGGGGTGGGTGGGGAGATGTTAACCTGTTGTAGATGGCTATGTTAGCTGGGTGTGGGGTGGGTGGAGAGAGGTTTACCTGTTGTAGATGGCTATGTTAGCTGGGAGTGGGGTGGGTGGAGAGATGTTTACCTGTTGTTGATGGCTATGGCTATGTCAGCTGGGTGTCGGGTGGGGGGGGGAGATATTAACCTGTTGTAGATGGCTATGTTAGCTGGGTGTGGGGTGGGTGGAGAGAGGTTTACCTGTTGAAGATGGCTATGGCTATGTCAGCTGGGTATGGGGTGGGTGGAGAGAGGTTTACCTGTTGTAGATGGCTATGTTAGCTGGGTGTGGGGTGGGTAGAGAGAGGTTTACCTGTTGTAGATGGCTATGGCTATGTTAGCTGGGTGTGGGGTGGGTGGAGAGAGGTTTACCTGTTGAAGATGGCTATGTTAGCTGGGTGTGGGGTGGGTGGAGAGAGGTTTACCTGTTGTAGATGGCTATGTTAGCTGGGTGTGGGGTGGGTGGAGAGAGGTTTACCTGTTGTAGATGGCTATGGCTATGTCAGCTGGGTGTGGGGTGGGGTGGGTGGGGAGATGTTAACCTGTTGTAGATGGCTATGTTAGCTAGGTGTGGGGTGGGTGGAGAGAGGTTTACCTGTTGAAGATGGCTATGTTAGCTGGGTGTGGGGTGGGTTGGGAGATGTTAACCTGTTGTAGATGGCTATGTTAGCTGGGTGTGGGGTGGGTGGAGAGAGGTTTACCTGTTATAGATGGCTATGGCTATGTCAGCTGGGTGTGGGGTGGGGTGGGTGGGGAGATGTTTACCTGTTGTAGATGGCTATGGCTATGTCAGCTGGGTGTGGGGTGGGGTGGGATGGGGAGATGTTAACCTGTTGTAGATGGCTATGTTAGCTAGGTGTGGGGTGGGTGGAGAGAGGTTTACCTGTTGTAGATGGCTATGTTAGCTGGGAGTGGGGTGGGTGGAGAGAGGTTTACCTGTTGTAGATGGCTATGTTAGCTGGGAGTGGGGTGGGTGGAGAGATGTTTACCTGTTGTAGATGGCTATGTTAGCTGGGAGTGGGGTGGGTGGAGAGATGTTTACCTGTTGCAGATGGCTATGTTAGCTGGGAGTGGGGTGGGTGGAGAGATGTTTACCTGTTGTAGATGGCTATGTTAGCTGGGAGTGGGGTGGGTGGAGAGATGTTTACCTGTTGCAGATGGCTATGTTAGCTGGGAGTGGGGTGGGTGGAGAGAGGTTTACCTGTTGTAGATGGCTATGGCCATGTTAGCTGGGTGTCGGGTGGTTTTGGAGAGATGTTTACCTGTTGTAGATGGCTATGTTAGCTGGGTGTGGGGTGGGTAGAGAGATGTTTACCTGTTGTAGATGGCTATGGCTATGTCAGCTGGGTGTGGGGTGGGTTGGGAGATGTTAACCTGTTGTAGATGGCTATGTTAGCTGGGTGTGGGGTGGGTAGAGAGATGTTTACCTGTTGTAGATGGCTATGGCTATGTCAGCTGGGTGTGGGGTGGGTGGAGAGAGGTTTACCTGTTGTAGATGGCTATGTTAGCTGGGTGTGGGGTGGGTAGAGAGATGTTTACCTGTTGTAGATGGCTATGGCTATGTTAGCTGGGTGAGGGATGGGGAGCGGAATCTCCAGCTTGTCAAACACCTTGTGTTCATACACAGCCTTCCATGGACAGCTCTTGTCTCTGTAGAACCATTGTAAACAGATGCTCTCTTCAACAATACATAACACATCAAACATATCATATTTAGACAGCATGAGGTGACGGTAATATTACCGTAATACCTCAGGCAATGCATAGTCTTCTAAATACATAAATTTATTTCAAGACAAAACAATAGTTCATATATAGTCAGCAAAAATAGCTGTCTAGACAAAACCAAGTTCATGCAGCTGCATGGGAGTTTCCAGTCTGAGACTTTAGCCACTAGTCCCAAGCCAGAGTCTAGTAAAATTCTGTCTGGTCAGCTAAAAACAGTCTATACAATAACACTTAGCACGTAATGATGCCAAGAGCCATGTTCGGCAAAGTAGACTCAAAAGGTTTTGGCACAGACTGTGATTCAATCATAGATCCCTAGATTTATCTTATTCAGCACATTTTTAGAGCTGTCAGTTATGAAGTGTCAGTGTCAAGTGTCAAGTGTCTGACCTTGGTGTACCGAAGCGTGTTGTGTGAATCAGCTTCTGACTGGGGTTAAAGTAGCCAGAATCTAGGGTCGGCGCCTTCACAGTGATGTCACCTGCAAAACAGAACAAGGAATGTGAGTGTGAGTGAGTGAGTTGGGTTTAAAGCCGCTTTTAACAGTATTCCAGTTATATTTGCGGCATGTCAGCTTAATGTGGGAGGAAAGCCCAAGGTGATGCAGGTCTCGGATGTTTACCACTTCGGTGAAACCCACGAGCACGGGTATGGTGCTGACAAACCTAGAAACATAATCGGGGCGAACCGGGATTCGAACCCACAATCATAGTTTTCTGGCGTGGCCAAGGGACGAAACTCTGCACAGCGAATTGCAGCGCCTTAGACGACTGGGCCACCCGTGCCCCCGAACAAGGAATGTGTCACATTATGTGCAAAACAGTATACATGTACAAGAACTGTCACACTATATGAAAAACAAAATTCAACTCAGAAGATCTTGAAAATATAGTATAGTATTGTCTATCTGTTATCTATTAACATAAAGATAAAGCTTGGGATTTATCTATTCTATTAAAGGGGACAGCCTGTAGCTGCGTGTAGTAACAAGTCAATATCAGCAGCAGTGAGATACAGTTAATGCAGCGAGGAGAAAACACAAGGGGGATAACTCTGTCTGGGTTACTAACCCATGGAAATCTGTCAATACATGTTATCTGGCACTATTTTGATAACGCAGATACAATACAACCAGGCCCTGCTTCAATGTTCTGTGGGGAAATTTATTTCACAGTCTTTTGTAACTGATTAGTTATTTGTGTTCAGACAACAATGTACTTATTGATAAATGTTGGTTAGGAAATATCAATGGAACACATCAATCTTCCAACAATACTCACTGGTTGGTGTATGGACCTCTGTGATGAGGTCGAGGTCGTCACTGAACTCGGCTGTGGCCAACATGTTCACGTAGCGGGACAAGTTGATGTGATCCACCTGATGGTGGAAAATGATAATTGTTCAATCATTGGGTTCATTTTCAGGTCCAAGCTGACTTGATCCACCATGCTTTTACTATGTGTCAGCAGGGCAGTCCATCACTCTGCTGCTCAAATAAGCCACTTAGGTGTGTCAGGGTCTGTCGAAGTTGGAATGTCAAAACATGGCAGCAACATAATGCTGACACTACTCAGGTAAACAAGTCTCAGGTGCTACCTTTCAGAAAAACAGCAACAGGATTGTATGCTTGTTTTAGGACTACAAATCAAAGCCTTTTCCTGTAAGTGTGTCAGTATTTGTACACTGCAATACCCACCTGACAACATACTACCTTTTCCTGCAGGTGTGTCAGTATTTGTACCCTGCAATTCCCACCCGACAACATCCTACCTTTTCCTGCAGGTGTAACAGTATTTGTACCCTGGAACACCCACCTGACAACATTCACCTTTTCCTGCAGGTGTGTCAGTATTTGTACTATGCAATACCCACCTGACCACATCCTACCTTTTCCTGCAGGTGTATCAGTATTTGTACCCTGCAATACCCAGTTACAACATTCACCTTTTCCTGCAGGTGTGTCATTATTTGTACCCTGCAATACCCATCTGACCACACCCACCTTTCCTGCAGGTGTATCAGTATTTGTACCCTGCAATACCCATCTGACCACACCCACCTTTCCTGCAGGTGTATCAGTATTTGTACCCTGCAATACCCATCTGACCACACCCACCTTTCCTGCAGGTGTATCAGTATTTGTACACTGGCATACCAATCACTATCCTTCCAGACACATTGTGTACAAGACAGTTTTACCTTCAGTTCAAAATAGTTGTCAGTCTCTTCCAAAGGCAGCAAAAATGGCTTCGAAAATACCATGGCCAACTTCTTGCAGGCAAAACCTGCAACCCAGGGAACGGGCAAACATTTCATCATTAAAGGCCTAGCATGCTAAATAATGGAATGTGATTAAGGAACCATTACCACTACAGAATACATGGGCTCAAAACAGCTGAAAACTATTTCAGTTGAACAGACAGAGATCCACAGCCTTGCTTGATTACAATTCACAGATCCCATATCCCCTGAGTTTCCCCTTAGTGTGAACCTATTCCTCAAGTTATGACCTCATTCCCCTCCAGTTTTCTTCTCCCCTGAGTTTCATGGAATAGTGTCAACTCTTTCCCCACATTACGAACTCATTCCATCCAAGCTTCAATGACTACAATGACTAAAATCATAACAGAAATGTTTCCTACATGAAGTAGTAGGGGTGGGTATTGGAAGTTTAAAGTGTATCACAATATTTTGCAATGCACAAGGCCTTATTGCGATACGTATCACGATATATTGTATAACAATCTGATACATGAAAGTATGAATAAAACAAGATGCTGGCACAACATAATGTTTACTCAGCCAATAGATTCGCAGCCATCTTGGGGCCCCGAAGGCATTTGGCAAGTATATAACACTAAACACATGATAAAAATCCCAATTTGAAATCACTCAATATATTGAGCATGAAAAAGTGATATTGTGATACGTATCATGGAAAGAATTAACCTCAATTTATCGATATACCGGTAATACCTCACACCCTTATGAAGTAGACTAACTGACACTTACCACGTCTAGGAAATGTTATTATTAATAATATGACCACCATAAAAGTTAGTTTTCTGTTGTAACTGAGAACATATTTCTGACATATATGTTTGACATGTATGTTTCTGTCAGTGTCTATTGTGCACCTTTCCAGTCTTTGGGTTCCAGGTGAAGACTCTCCCAGAACTCGTCCTCTGACTGGAGGGCCATCCGAGCCAGGATGTGTTCCGGGTAGAACCGCTCCAGCAGCTTGGACGTCAGCAGGATGGTCAGCTGGAATACAGTACCGGACAGAAATAAGTCCCTTCATCACACTGGGGTAGACATCAGTTTACTATCTGAATTCATTATCTGAAAACCTAGTGCCGATTGTTAATGAAAAACAGGGAGACACCATACATTAAACTTAAATTGGGAAAGGTAATGGGTAGTCCTTGCAGACTTTCACCCCAGGGGTCCGGAAAATTTAAAATCCCAATCGGACATTTGCATTTAGGCCACGCCCCCTTCAAATAGCGTATTTTAGTACGACTTTTCACACACATTACAAGTTTACGTATTCATAATATGATGAATTATGAATTGTTTCAATTTAAATTGTTTAATTCACCGGACAATCAATAACAAATAATATCATTTTAGATATACATGGAAAACATACGTTTGTTTCTGTTATAATAACGATCTGTTAACGTAGTGAACGGTCTAATTAATATTCATGAGTTATTTTCATGAGTCTGCTCAAGAGTACGCATTGTAACATTTGGATAGAGACTATTATCCCATATTTGGTTATCACGTGACCTCACGGGAAAAGGGTTTTTTTAAACTAAAGATTTTTTTAAAAACAAGACAGATAATTTAATCAACAATACTAAAATATCGTTGATAGCAATAGTAATTTGAATACTTTTTTCATCTGTACTTAATTATTGACCATAAAAAAATTGGATATCGATCGTCCGAGAAAGCAAAATGGCGGTCAATCAAGATTCAACATACGACTAGCTACTGAAAACAATAAAATCTGCAAATCCTCATTGTATGTCAACCAAGTGAAAGTCGTTAGCCACGACTTACAAAATGATCGTCCAGACTTTGAGGGTTTGGCAGATCCGCTCGACTGATCTGCATCGGTCGACTGGCTGTCGTCACGCTTTCGCTTCTTGTCTGAGGTTACATATCGTAGCATTGTGAGGTTATGAGGTACATCGATGATGCAAGGTATTAATGTACAGTTGTAAACACCTTTCACTCAAATTAACAAAATGTTCTGAGTAATTAATCCTCGATTAATCAGTGTCAACTCAGTTTATTACCTATTACAGTGATTGACCGATTGGACTATCATGTAGGTACGATGTATTTACAGCAATCAAAACAAACAAAGCTTGTCAGTGTAGTTAATCTTCATTGTGTTGCAACTGCAGACAGAAACTGCTCAGTCCTAACTGTTGATCATGTCCGGTCAAAATTTAAGAATGTCCGGACAATACTTTTTAAAATGTCCGGTAAGCAATATTTTAAAACGGACATTTGAGATTCCCAATCGGACATGTCCGGCGCATATGACGGTTTCCGGACCCCTGTTTCACCCATTTCAGGACTAGCTGAATGAAGTGTCAGACCGAACAGTGTATATCTTTAATACAGGGATGAGAATGGATAGTTTTCTTTTCAGCTGAAACGTTTTTTCAATGGAGCGTGGTTCATAATTTGGGGGTGTTTTGGGGTCAGGGGGAAGCCATCAGATTTTAACAAATTTATGGTCACCAAAATCTGCAGAAATTCGCTGATCCGCGGAAGAATCTCAAACCAGTTAATAACAAGCTCCACACACTCAGGAGTAGTGATCTGAGTAACTGAATTTGTTTTTACGATCTGAAGAATCAGTGCCTTTCCGTAATGAACCACAAGCTCCACACACAGACAGGCAGTGAGTTTAGTACATGTATCTGAATTATTGGCTGAAGAAACAAAGCCTGGCTTCAATGAACCACAAGCTCCACACACAGACAGGCAGTGAGTTTAGTACATGTATCTGAATTATTGGCTGAAGAAACAAAGCCTGGCTTCAATGAACCACAAGCTCCACACACAGACAGGCAGTGAGTTTAGGACATGTATCTGAATTATTGGCTGAAGAAACAAAGCCTGGCTTCAATTAACCACAAGCTCCACACACAGACAGGCAGTGAGTTTAGGACATGTATCTGAATTATTGGCTGAAGAAACAAAGCCTGGCTTCAATGAACCACAAGCTCCACACACAGACAGGCAGTGAGTTTAGTACATGTATCTGAATTATTGGCTGAAGAAACAAAGCCTGGCTTCAATGAACCACAAGCTCCACACACAGACAGGCAGTGAGTTTAGTACATGTATCTGAATTATTGGCTGAAGAAACAAAGCCTGGCTTCAATGAACCACAAGCTCCACACACAGACAGGCAGTGAGTTTAGTACATGTATCTGAATTATTGGCTGAAGAAACAAAGCCTGGCTTCAATGAACCACAAGCTCCACACACAGACAGGCAGTGAGTTTAGGACATGTATCTGAATTATTGGCTGAAGAAACAAAGCCTGGCTTCAATGAACCACAAGCTCCACACACAGACAGGCAGTGAGTTTAGTACATGTATCTGAATTATTGGCTGAAGAAACAAAGCCTGGCTTCAATGAACCACAAGCTCCACACACAGACAGGCAGTGAGTTTAGGACATGTATCTGAATTATTGGCTGAAGAAACAAAGCCTGGCTTCAATGAACCACAAGCTCCACACACAGACAGGCAGTGAGTTTAGGACATGTATCTGAATTATTGGCTGAAGAAACAAAGCCTGGCTTCAATGAACCACAAGCTCCACACACAGACAGGCAGTGAGTTTAGGACATGTATCTGAATTATTGGCTGAAGAATCAGTGCCTTTCCGTAATGAACCACAAGCTCCACACACAGACAGGCAGTGAGTTTAGTACATGTATCTGAATTATTGGCTGAAGAAACAAAGCCTGGCTTCAATGAACCACAAGCTCCACACACAGACAGGCAGTGAGTTTAGGACATGTATCTGAATTATTGGCTGAAGAAACAAAGCCTGGCTTCAATGAACCACAAGCTCCACACACAGACAGGCAGTGAGTTTAGTACATGTATCTGAATTATTGGCTGAAGAAACAAAGCCTGGCTTCAATGAACCACAAGCTCCACACACAGACAAGCAGTGAGTTTAGGACATGTATCTGAATTATTGGCTGAAGAAACAAAGCCTGGCTTCAATGAACCACAAGCTCCACACACAGACAGGCAGTGAGTTTAGGACATGTATCTGAATTATTGGCTGAAGAAACAAAGCCTGGCTTCAATGAACCACAAGCTCCACACACAGACAGGCAGTGAGTTTAGGACATGTATCTGAATTATTGGCTGAAGAAACAAAGCCTGGCTTCAATGAACCACAAGCTCCACACACAGACAGGCAGTGAGTTTAGGACATGTATCTGAATTATTGGCTGAAGAATCAGTGCCTTTCCGTAATGAACCACAAGCTCCACACACAGACAGGCAGTGAGTTTAGGACATGTATCTGAATTATTGGCTGAAGAATCAGTGCCTTTCCGTAATGAACCACAAGCTCCACACACAGACAGGCAGTGAGTTTAGGACATGTATCTGAATTATTGGCTGAAGAATCAGTGCCTTTCCGTAATGAACCACAAGCTCCACACACAGACAGGCAGTGAGTTTAGGACATGTATCTGAATTATTGGCTGAAGAAACAAAGCCTGGCTTCAATGAACCACAAGCTCCACACACAGACAGGCAGTGAGTTTAGTACATGTATCTGAATTATTGGCTGAAGAAACAAAGCCTGGCTTCAATGAACCACAAGCTCCACACACAGACAGGCAGTGAGTTTAGGACATGTATCTGAATTATTGGCTGAAGAAACAAAGCCTGGCTTCAATGAACCACAAGCTCCACACACAGACAGGCAGTGAGTTTAGTACATGTATCTGAATTATTGGCTGAAGAAACAAAGCCTGGCTTCAATGAACCACAAGCTCCACACACAGACAGGCAGTGAGTTTAGTACATGTATCTGAATTATTGGCTGAAGAAACAAAGCCTGGCTTCAATGAACCACAAGCTCCACACACAGACAGGCAGTGAGTTTAGTACATGTATCTGAATTATTGGCTGAAGAAACAAAGCCTGGCTTCAATGAACCACAAGCTCCACACACAGACAGGCAGTGAGTTTAGTACATGTATCTGAATTATTGGCTGAAGAAACAAAGCCTGGCTTCAATGAACCACAAGCTCCACACACAGACAGGCAGTGAGTTTAGGACATGTATCTGAATTATTGGCTGAAGAAACAAAGCCTGGCTTCAATGAACCACAAGCTCCACACACACACAGGCAGTGAGTTTAGGACATGTATCTGAATTATTGGCTGAAGAAACAAAGCCTGGCTTCAATGAACCACAAGCTCCACACACAGACAGGCAGTGAGTTTAGTACATGTATCTGAATTATTGGCTGAAGAAACAAAGCCTGGCTTCAATGAACCACAAGCTCCACACACAGACAGGCAGTGAGTTTAGGACATGTATCTGAATTATTGGCTGAAGAAACAAAGCCTGGCTTCAATGAACCACAAGCTCCACACACACACAGACCTTGAGATCCTTCTCTGGCAACTTGATCCTCCTCTGCAGGTCTGGGTACAGCCCTGTGTACAGCTTCCTCTCCCTCCTACAACACAGCAACACACCCGTGGAGTTTGAACATAGAGACCCGTGAACATATGTCTTCAGCAAACCATGCTTGTCGTAAATTTAGACTATGTTTGTCGTAAGAGGTGACTAACAGGATCAGGTGGTCAGGCTCACAGACTTGGTTGATGCATGTCATTGTATCCCAATTTCGTGAATCGGTACTCATGGTGTCAATCACTGGATTATCTAGTACCGACTCGATTATTTACAGGCCACCGTCATATAGCTGTAATATTGCTGAGTGCGGCGTTAAACAACAAACAAACATAATATGATTGTTGCTTTATATTTGACATATTATGAGTGCTTCAATTAGTTTTTAAGAGGGCTATCATGTACCATAGTTCAAACAGATGAAAATACAAAGGTAGGATGTATGGACAGATAAACATCAACCATGAAAGCCCACATTGACTCCGTTAACTTGATCTAAAATTCCATAATTTTCACATCATGGAAATATGGATGTGGTAAGATCTTCTTTCTTCAGGAAGCTATCTGTAAAAAGAAAAAATTCATAACTTCCACCGAACTTCATACAATCTTCCAACAGGCAAAAACAGCCTGGCTAAGCAGCTGCCGAAGTCTGGTGACGCCAAGTAAATATTTTAGTCCGATGGGAGCCCTACTATTAACATTGAGTAAATACTGTCCCACTCGACATTAGCCAGAGACAAGCCTTGTATCTCTCACACCAGTGTTGATACTTCCACTGTTTACAGGCTGTTTTTTGCAGGGCTTATTACCCTGACTTATCAACTGATTGGATTATCCTATCATACAAGCCTCAGGACTGGAGAGTGCTGGCTTGTCTTGATGATGCATGAGAGCTGGGTATGAATAATCGATCTCTGCCATAGTGGGGAAACTTTGTGATAACACTGTACATATTTCATAATGGAGCTAGTCCTGCACCATGGCTGTGGAATTTATATTTTGTAGGTTGTTTTTTTTACTAAAAGCCTAGGCAAGTCTAGATCAAACTAAAACAGCAGAAGAGGAAAGTTTTTTTGGAAGAAGTTTTTTAAAGTTATTTCATGTTTTCATTGACTAAGTGTAGTCTACAATGGTACTTGCTTCAGTGAAAAAGGAATTTGTATGAAAGATGTGACTTTTCAAGAAGCATTTTTAACATGTCTCTGTTGATATTTGTTTCTGATAGCTGGCTTCCGTGTGAAGTTATCTTGGAGTCTTAGTCTCATAATTATTTGAGATTTATAATTTTAAAATCAATATGCAGGTGAGTGAGGTAAAGTTTAACACTGCATCTGCACTGTTTCAGATATATAGTGATGAGAACATGTTGTGGATTAAAAAAACATGTTATCAATAATTGAAAGATATATTTAAAAGCAATCCATCATACATATGTTGACATTGCAAAGATATTTATAACTGTTTTAAACATGGGCTATCTACAACAGCAGGCTCAAGAAGCTTGCATGTGTGCATCGGTTAAAACTTCCTCTCTATCCTCAAGTATCATAAGTTCTAACATGAACTCCACCCAAAAAAATTTGAACAAACATTTGACTAACTGCAATGGGGAGAATGCTGTTTTTTGTAGCAGTCAGGTTAACCTCGGTGACCAGTAGTGAGTTAATATAAAGTTTAATATACAAGCATGTGTGTCATAATAATTTTATGAAACGAGTGTCAGAATTCCTGTATTTCCCGAATGAAAGTGAGAGTAAATTGAATTCTTACACACGTTTCGTGAAATCAGTGTAACACACATGTGAGTAATGATTTCTTCATTACCCATTATTTCTTAATCCTTTTAAGCTCTCCTTTAGAAAAATGCAGTGATCACCACTGCTGTCCAAGAAAAACACAATTTGTCGAATGACGTCAACAAATTTTAGCTTTGTTTTGTTTTAGTTTCTAGTGTGATGTCATTCCATCCTAATGTCACAATAAGCTTTGTTTGACTTCAACAATGCCGTCCGGATGATGGAAACAATACCCAGGTGTACGTGAAGTGACACTTGCATTAGATTTTTATGAACTTGGATATTTCTAACCCTATTGGTAATAAAAGGTTTTATGCCGCTTTTAGCAATATTCCAGCAACATTATGGCAGGGGATACCAGAATCTGGTTTCATACAACATGAGAATGCAGGTGTTGTTCAATGGGGAATAATCGACTCACTCTTCTGCCTTCTTCATGAGATCTGTCTTGTACTGGGCCGTCTCATCACACAGCCTCTTGTACACCCCATCCTCCACCAGCCCGGACGAGAAGGGCTTGAAACACTGCTCTATGAACTTCCTGTAACAGAAAGATGTGGCCATGAACATACTGGTATGAATAAAGATGTGAACAAACTGTTTGTACCCACACAGAAAGCTGTCAGACTGTCATCATAGTCAACACCAAGCAGTCATCAAGATGCAGGGGTAACATATTCATTGTAACGTTCTTCAAAATACAGCAAGTACTGTATTCTATTGAGAGCTTAATCAAAGGACAATCTTCTCCAACTTCCTCTGCTGATAAGGTGAGTGAGTTGGGTTTAACACCGCTTTTAACATTATTCCAGTTATATCACGGCGTGTCAGCTTAATGTGGGAGGAAAGCCCGAAGTGATGCAGGTCTTAGATGTTTACCACTTCGGTGAAACCCACGAGCACGGGTATGGTGCTGACAAACCTAGAAACATAATCGGGGTGAACCGGAATTTGAACCCACAATCATAGATTTCTGTCCTGTCCAGGGGACGCAACTCTGCACAGCGAATCGCTGCGCCTTAGACGACTGGGCCACCCTTGCCCCCCTGCTGATAAGGAAAAAAGCATGTTGAGCTGAGACAGAGCACAAGCCTCCCTTACAATTCCATGAGTGTTTGTTTGTTTGTTTATTTGTTTGTTCATTGTTTAACGCCACACTCAGCTATATTCCAGCTATATGACAACAGTCTGAAAATAATCGAGTCTTGACCAGACAATCATGTGGTTGACAACATGAGCATGGATCCACGCAATTGGGATACGATGACATGCATCAACCAAGTCAGCGAGCCTGACCACCCGATCCCGTTAGTCGCCTCCCCTGACAAGCATGGGCTGCTGAAGACCTCAAGTGGCTGCATGCCACAAATCAAGCCTGATCAGAGAAAACCAGTGGCTGAAAGCATGACCACATTCCAGCCTGTACTGGGGTTGTGGCCGATGTATGTTTTGAGTTGTTTTAATGTCACTACAGGTTTTTTACATATATATTTATCATAAATAACTGGTTGCTAGTTTCATTTCATTTTATCATTCATCTACAACACAGTGTATCTATCCTTCTGTGTCACCTGCAATTGCCCCATGGCCAGAAGCCCTATCTCCTGATTGGCCAAGCTGCTCACCCTACAGACTCTCTCAGCACATGACTCTGTGATAAGCAATTACCGTATTCGACATAATAAGCGCCCAGGGCGCTCTCAAAATTAGAAATAGGGGGCTCTTATTAGAATATTATTTTGGTGTAAAACAGAGTTGAAAGATAAATTTTGTGGTTTATGCTGACAGCCTGAAATGTTTATATACGACATATATATTTTTTCAGAATCTAATTGCCCATAATTAAGGGTGCATATAACACACGAGTGCGTATTATATGCGAATAAATAAGTCTTGTGTACATTGATCAATCAGAAGGGGTGCTAATTGGGATTGTTCACTAGCCAATATATGAGCAATTATCGCTGTGAGCGCTTATTAGAGCGGGGCGCTTATTACGTTGAATACAGTAGTAAAGTTGCCAGTCAGGTGAGTTAAAAGTCAATAATCTTTATATAATGCTGTATTAAAATAATACTGTATGCTTAAAGTATTTTTTAAGTAAACTAAATGAATGTAACATAACATAAATATAGATAATGTCTTATTTTTTAAATCTTCATCAGTAAGCTAAACAGCCATACAAACAACAGATATATCTTATCACTTCTAGTGAATGAATGTTGGTTGGTTGGTTGGTTGTTTAACGCCGCACTCAGCAATATTCTAGCTATATAACGGCCATGAAATACACACATATATAACTTTTGGAGGGGGACACGGGTGGAACTCTTTCCAATATGAATGTTAATTTTGAATGACCATAACAATAGGCAACACTATATAACCAATGGCATGTCCCCATTCAACACACAACCAGGTGGTCCGTCTCCACATGTAAGGGGAATAACTCCATCTGTCTTCTCTGTTCTGCTTTATACACAATCAATAGTAAAGCTGCAGACATAGACACAGATGAACTATGCTAAATGAAATCCCCATTGCGACAGAACCAACACTAAATTACATCAATTTACAGAAGGGGCGATCAGGTAGCCTAGTGGTTAAAGCGTTCGCTCATGGGTACAATGAGTGAAGCCCATTTCTGGTGTCCCCCCCCATTATATTGCTGGAATATTGCTAAAAGCGGCGTAAAACCATACTCACTCACTCAATTTACAGAATTGAAAAAGATCGAAAAACAAGAAACACACACATCAATTGTCTAATATTCAGGTATCTTAAAATTGTATTATTATAAATTGTAATATTAACATTTTCATCCAACATCATTTTCATATAAAATTCCTTAATAATCACTCTGTTATCAACTGCGAGCGGCGCAGTTGATAACTACTTTCTGGAGAGGCCAGTGAACACCCTTCCTGATTAAGTATTCCTTGACTCAAGTAAAAAATAATTAATTGTACACTATATTAAATATATTGTTTCAGTATAACCCACACTACCTATAGTGACACTGTGTTTCCTGGCTAGTATTTCTACATACAGTAAACTACGTTCATAACCAACATGCTTTTAATGAACTGACCGATATAACAAACTTATTTTTTTGGTCCTGGCCATTTGTTGTATATATGCTGTATATATGCTTATAAAGAACTTTGATTATTACAAACTAAAATTAGTGGTCCCTTTGAGTCCATTATAACCGTAGTTAACTGGTTTTTAAGCATCTTCAACAACGGTCTGCAGGTTCTGTTTTTCACTTTATCTGAGCTTGGATTCTGAGTGAGTGAGTGAGTGAGTGAGTGAGTGAGTGAGTGAGTGAGTGTTTGGTTGAAAGCTGCATTGAACAGGATATATCAGACCATGTGACCATATGGGTGTAAATTTAAGTGGATATAGATTGTATACATACATTAACCAATACAGAGAAGCATGGTAACTGACAAAGACTCATAATAAAGCCGAATCTGGCATTTAAACCCTCAGACTTGTTGAGACCTAGGCTCAGAGGCCGATATTCATCCACAAATCCTGCAAATGTAAGTAAAAAAATTCCAAATCGGAATTAAACATTTTCCAGTTCACGCTGAAATGGCTTTTATAGGGGTGACTTGTATTTCACTGACAACAGGACCAATTAAGACAGAGAAGCTTTAAAGCTGAGATTAACATTATTGCATTTAATGCAATGTTAAAATTCAATGTTAAACTACCTTTGAAGTAGTAAAATATGAACTCTAAAAAAATCCCTATTGTGAATGTAATCAAGATTTTTCCATTCCCTTGCCAAGGGAACTTGAACTGGAATCCTAGATAGACATCCCTATTACAGATACACAACAGCTGCAAACTAATCTGGAGCATGGCAAACCAGTGGTCAACAGTATGAGCATCAATCCATGCCGTCCAGGATGACAACACATCTAACAAAATACTGTCCCTACTATACAGCCATAACATAGCCATCATAACAATCAGATTCAATTTCAGTTGCCCTTCCCAACAAACATGACATCGCCTGACAACACAGAAAATATCCACCCAACATGATGTACACCCAGCACATCCTACACCAGTATATGCTATAAACTTCTGAAGTTCAGGACAACTTTGCCTAAGCACATGTGGCTGAATTGACATGCAGAAGGATGTCCCTGCATTACTGCATGCAACATCCCTGGCATGCAGACACTCTCATTTGTGCCTGCAGTCCAGGATCTGCATGTCAGCGAGGTGAAGGGGCTGCCTGACATGCGGGGGTATGCAGGTGCTCTCTCCGGGCAGCAAGGCGCTAGAGCCTGTACTTGCATAGTAATGGCGACAGGTGAAAAGAAGCAAATCCTTTTTAACTTCAGCCTGAGCTAACTTTCAGTTTGAAAATCAATTAAACTTTTTAAAATCACAACTGTTTATTCTCAATTTCTTGAAAATATAGCCCAGCAATAGCGGCTAATTGCTTCCAGCGAATGCCATTTGACTTTTTCTGTAAATGCATTTTCTCACCAGGCCAAGTGAACCAATGTTGTATTTACATATTAATGACATTTTCAGAAACATTTTTTACATTTTTTTTAAACCTGAAGTTTCAAAGAAAGTCATTCAATTAAGAGCACATCAACAAAAAATTATTCAGAAATTCCATCATTTGAACCACATAATAAAGTCATTCACAAAAACGTTTCATCTCAACAGAAAGCAAACAATATATAATTTATTACAACACAAAGGAGACACATAAAACATAAACCACCGCCAACCTCAAATGCATAATCTGAAACAGCACATAATTAAATAAAAAAATTCTAGAATCTAATTGAATAAAACTTAAACAATGCAACATAAACAAGCAACCTCGTAACATAGCCCCATACCCTTATCATCTAATTCCTTCTTCAAACATGGCCCAGGTGGTATAAATCAAGTCCAAACTGAATTATGAAATACTTTCTGATCACTGTTCTCATGACCATTGGTTTCTAAACCTTGAATAACCCAGTCCTTATGAATTAAAAAAATATTACATACATACTTATAGACCTGAAGGGAGACTGGAGTAAATTACAACACATTAACTTCATATTTCATTGCCGATTCTCTTCAAGCTGTTGTCAAATCGTATAATGTGAACTGTAAGTTAGTGGTCAAGCAGATTTCTGGCTCCAGCTAAATCTCTTATGTCTGGCGGAATTAACAATGCCAGCCAATAATCAAACAACATTTTTCTTTATTTGCACCCCGACATGCAAGCGGTTTCCAGATGAGAGGCAGTTGCATGACCGTCTGCATTCTATTTTCATAATTTTTGACAGCTATGGCATACCGGCACTCATTGACAATGTTTAGGGTCTGTAATTTGAATGTTTAAAGGATGTGTAGGTTCAGATTTTCTCCAAAGATGCTCGTGAACAGGCTCCAGTGATGTGAAATTTGTGAAAAATAAACTGTTTGTGTAGTAATTTAAACCAGTTAACTAGGATAGATTTAAGTTAATGTGATTCTCTCATGCAACAATATGGCTACAGTAAAATACTC